GTCCCCTTCCTAGCCTATATTCTTGAGTGAGTCATCTACATTAATGGTCTTAGATTTCTCTTCACCCTTTCTTCCCGAACCCATTCCAGTTGGCTTCTCAAATCCCATGACCCCCAACTCCACCCAAGCTGCCTGTGTCCAGTTCATCAACACTGGCCACATACTAAATCCACTGGTCAATCCTCAGTGTTGCTTCAACCTCACCTGTTGATGGTGTGATTCCTCATCTTTTCTCAGTGTTACGTGTGCCAGGGCTTCTCCTCATCCCCTTTCTCGGTCTGTACTTTGTTCATTGGTGCAGGTTCTTGCCTTTAAATACCAACTCTCTGTCAACTCCTAAATTTGTATCTCCGTCCCAAACCTTTCTGGACCATCAGGATTGATATTCAGCAGCCTCCAACACAGCAGGTCCAAGCTGAGCTACTGATGTCCCCCACAAACTCGCCCAGGGACCTTCCCCATCTCAGGTCACAGCGATCAGCACTTCCTGTTTCTCAGGCCCAGCCTGTGGGGGACATTCTTAAGCCCCCTTTATTTCTCTCCCCCTACAAACAATCCACGAATTGCAACAACCCTCTCGTGTCTGCTTTCCAAATACTTCCAGATATTCAACACTTCTCACTACTTCCACCACTGTCCCCTGAGCCAGCATCGTCTCCCATACGGATTACTGTATGGCACCAGTGATCCTTCTAAGTTATCATCACCGCCATGTTCAAACCAGGCAGTGGCTCCCATTTCATTCAGAGTCAAAACCCTACTCTTAAAGGCCCTGGACGATCAGGCCCCTGTGTCTCTCTGTCCTCATTTCCTGCCTTCTTGCCATCACCTCCCACACTGTCGTCCTAGCCTTTCCTTGGACACCAGGGACACCAGGTCATGCTCCTTCCTGAGGGCTTTGGTACGAGCTGTTCTCTCTGCTTGGGCGGTGCTTCCTCCAGGTTATATCTTGGTTCGCTTGCATGGAGAACTCCCACTGTGTTCCGATCTTTGTTCAGCTAATGTCTTTCCAGGGAGACCTCCTCTCTGCAGACCCCTCCCCGCTGCATTCCCAGTCCTCCTTCCCTTATTACCTTCCCCCCCCCCCCCCCCCGAGATGGAGTCTCACTCTGTTGCCCAGGTTGGAGTGCAGTGGAATGATCTTGGCTCACTGCAACCTCCACCTTCAGGGTTCAAGCAATTTCTGGCTAATTTTTGTATTTTTAGTCGAGATGGGGTTTCACTATGTTGGCCAGGCTGGTCTTGAACTCCTGACCTCAAGTAATCTGCCTGCCTTGGCCTCTCAAAGTGCTAGGATTACAGGCGTGAGCCACTGGGCCTGGCCACCTTATTACTTTTTAAATTTTTGCAATGGTGTTTATTACCTTTAAATATACTCTACAGTTTATTCATTCTGTTTCTGTTGTCTTTCTTCCCTAGCTAGAACAGAAATTTCAAAGAGAAGAGATCTTTGTTTTGTCCACTGATACATCCCAAGCATGTGAAACAGCATGTAGTTTATGGTCATTACAATTTGTCATTTACTGTTTAATAAATACAATGTTGCAGAATTAGATCTTTGGCTATTAGGCCTTCAAAGGCTGAGCCTGAAAAATGATAGTTTAGACCTGGTAAGGCTAAAGATCAAGTTCTGTGCATCCCTATCGGATGTGCACAGGCCCCTTCCAGTCCCACTCACATATCTTTGGGACTGAAAAGCTTTTTCTACTTCCTTTAACTTAAATCTGCCTTCTCTTTTTCCTAGGTCAAATCTCCATTCCAGGACTTTCTATTTTATTTTTGTCTAGGGTTGAAATGGCCCTGATTTATTCCCAGGAATTCCCCTGTGTTCTTAATTTCTTTGTTCAAGACCCTGGCAACTTGACATCATGACTGGACTTTGCTCCTCCTGAGTGGAGGGTGGATGGGGGGTGCTGGACAGAGGTGTCTGTCCATAAGGAGGAGGTGGGGAGCAGAGGGTTGTATCTTGGTCCAGGGGCCCAAGTGACTGTACTGTCATAGAAGCCATGTTTTTCATCTTATTCTCATGACTAAAAGAAATTTTGCCAACGTTTTCCTAAAATTCAAATATGCTGCGTTTAAAGCATTAGCAGAGTGCCCTCAAAAATGAGTTATGTGAATGAATAATCTGTAAACCTGTTACCTATTAAAAATAAAAAGTGAAACAGCAAATGAGACTAGTTTGATATGATTGCTTTTCCCACGTGACTTCACTGTACTGATTCTGAACGAGTGTGGCTTTTATTCTCCTGTGTGTGCATTTCGTATGTATTTATGTTTCCCACTGACTATCTGTGACATAGGAATTTTCGAGGAAGGAACTGTGCCCTCTGGGTCTGTTGGAGCTGACTTAGAGCAATGGATATGGCATACCAACAAGATGTAATTTTTTTTAAAAAGCATTTCTTATATTTTCTAAACCCTGGACACTAGAAAGAAGGCCTGGGAAGAGGATGATTCCTGTGTACCAGGGATTCATTACCAAGCCAAGCACCTTGCCAGACCACTTTGTTACACCGCTCTTATGCCAGTTCATTGTAACTGTAGCTTTTGTTCCCAGGGATTTGAGGATTTTCATTGTCTGCTTTGGGTTAAGATCACTAGACATTTTGGAAAGGAGACACTGAAGGAGTATCTTGCTAATGTTTTAAAAAACAAAAGTCTCAGACTGGAAATGGTGGCTCACACCTGTAATCCCAGCACTTTGGGACGCCGAGGCGCGTGGATTACTTGAGGTCAGGAGTTTGAGACCAGCCTGGCCAACATGGTGTAACCCGTCTCTACTAAAAATACAAAAATTAGCCGGGCACGGTGGTGGGTGCCTGTAGTCCCAGCTACTCGGGAGACTGAGGCAGGAGAATAGCTTGAATCTCGGGAGGCAGAGGTTGCAGTGAGCTGAGATTGCATCATTGCACTCCGGCCTGGGTAACAGAGTTTGAGATTCTGTCACAAACAAACAAACAAAGTCTCAGCCTCTCAGCAAGACACAACTCGGGTTAGTGCTACCCTCGTAGCATTCTGTGGTATCATTAAGCCCAGATAGAGTAAAATTGTTACTAGACTGTGAGCAGGATGTGGCCCTAGTTAAGGGGAAATTTTTTTGGCCGGGCGCGGTGGCTCAAGCCTGTAATCCCAGCACTTTGGGAGGCCGAGATGGGCGGATCACGAGGTCAGGAGATCGAGACCATCCTGGCTAACACGGTGAAACCCCGTCTCTACTAAAAAATACAAAAAACTAGCCGGGCGAGGTGGCGGGCGCCTGTAGTCCCAGGTACTCGGGAGGCTGAGGCAGGAGAATGGCGTAAACCCAGGAGGCGGAGCTTGCAGTGAGCTGAGATCTGGCCACTGCACTCCAGCCTGGGCCACAAAGCGAGACTCCGTCTCAAAAAAAAAAAAAAAAAAAAAAAAAAAAGAAAACACTCGGTTATGTATATTTTTCTCACACAAATAAAAACGAAGGACACAAGGGTGGGCCAAGGAGTTCACAGTTTCTAAACCCATGTTAAATTTCTGCTAAACATTTGAAGAAAAATGGAGATGCTGGTATTGCTTAAACCGTTTGAGAATTCCCTTATATTTGATAGATTCTGCTGCTGCTCAAGGTGACCAGAAGTGAGAGGATGAATGTGGGGTGCATGTCTTTCGGATGGTCCCCTGCAGGTAAAGGGGCTAGCCTTTGACAATATCTCCACGCTTAGGGGCTAGCTGGTATTCCAGTTAAACCAACGCGTTTTCATCGTGGACTTCACAGCCATCAAGCAATCATAGCCTTACCAAATGGAGAAAAGGGGCGGGCCTGGAGCGCGTCCACGGGAGCGCGCCTCGCTCTGCGCGCCTCTGGGAATGTCTGCGGTGCTTAAGTCAGACCCGGATTGCACCAAGCCCAGCTTATCCTCCCCAGTTCTGCCAGGGTTTTTTTCCTCTTGTTTGTTGTTCGTTTGTTTTTGCCTGTCTTTGATTTAACTTTTGCTCCTTGACTAAATATATGCTTAATGCTAGACAGGACCCTTCATACCCAAGTCTGTGTCTTTGTTCCAAGATCTGCAATTTCATTTGGTTCCTGTCGGCTTTACAAGTTCAAAACTATGCCCCAGTTTAGGAAATGAATTCAAAGCATGTGGCAAGGGAGACGTTCGACAGACCCTAATGGCTCTGGAAAACATTGCCCGTCCTCGAGTTTCTTTCAGTAAAATCTGAATTTTGTTCTCGGAAGGAGTTGGGTTTGTGATCTCTACAAAGTGTAAGTTGCACCTAAATACTACATCATGTTCTTTGGGACATACATTCTGTTTCAGAATAAGAATTATGTTCTTCCTTTCCTAAAATGTGAAGGTTTTATATAGAACTTTTTAAAATAAAAAATTGGAAGCGCTTGGAGTCAAGGTCAGAGTAAGACTCAAGGAAACCAAAGACAGAAAATATTTGGACCCCTCCTACTCAGACATCAACCACATTGAAATATGTCCAAATACAATTCTTCAAAATCCTGGCTTTTCACGGGATGATTTATTATTTAAAAAGTTGTTTGCTTCAGAATCTGAGTTGTTTTAAGATTCTGTTGGTTGCCCCTGCTTTGCGGACGCGTTTTGTACGTTCTTGCTAATGTAGCGCTGCGAGGGGCGACGTGACCTCGGCGTCTGACAGGTACGCGGCGCTCCCGCACCGGCCTGCGGCTCGCGAGCAGGAAGACGGCGAGCTCTGCACCGCTCCACACTCCGGGGACCCGCCCCGGCCAGGCCTCTCCCCTACCGAGACCTTGTCCCCGCCCCGCCCCCGCCCCGCCCCCGCCGAGGCCCCGCCCCGCCGGCCCCGCCCCCGCCAGCCCCTCCTACCGAGACCTTGTCCCCGCCCCGACCCCGCCGAGGCCCCGCCCCCGCCAGCCGCGTCCCCGCCAGCCCCCCTCCTACCGAGACCTCGTCCCCGCCCACCAGCCCGCCCCGCCCCCGACAGGCCCCGCCCCGGCCCCGACCAGCCCCGCCCCTGCTTGCGCGAGGCCTAGGGCGGCAGGCGCGGAGCCGCGGAGCCGCGAGCCCCAGCCAATGAGCGCCGGCGGGCTGGTTGCCCAGGCGACCAGCGCGCGGCTCCGCCCCCCGCGCCGAGGCTCCCGCGCGCGGCTGAGTGCGGACTGGAGTGGGCACCCGGGTCCCTGCGCGCAGAGAACGCGCGATGACCACGTGGAGCCTCCGGCGGAGGCCGGGCCGCATGCTGGGACTTCTGCTGCTGGTCATCTTGGGCTTCCTGGTGCTCCGCAGGTGAGAGCGAGCTTCGCGCAGCACCTGCCGGACCCCGCATTCCCCAGCCCTCCGCACCTCGGGTTCTCTCCCGCGACCCGCGAATCCCGAGTTCCCGGGGGGAGCAGTCCCAGCTGCTTCCTTCTGGGAGCTCCCCAATACCCCGAGTTCCCCTGGGGCTCCAGGCACTCCTGCCTCGCGATCCAGGCCTCTGGGCGACACCGGGCGTGCCCTCGGGAGCCGGCGTCTGTGCCCCGAGCCGCCCACCCCGCCGCGCCTGTGATGCCGGGCTCTGCCCCTCGTGGACGGCCGCAGCCCTCCAGCCGTCAGCGCTCTCTCAGACGCACCCCCTCGCGGCCCCGTGCCCACTGCTCCGCGGAAGGCTCCCTCTGCTCTTCCCCCAGGCCCCCCTTTTCCTCCCAAGCCTCTGGGAGGCGCCTTGTTCCGCAGAGGCCGGCACTTCAGCCTGGCAGCTACGGTCTAGCCAGCTCGCCTGGCAGGGTCATAAGAACAGTGTCCGTGGGCCTCCAAGATCCCGGGTCATGATTTGTTTGCAGTTCTAGGACTGATAGGTCATCTCTCTCCACTTTCCCACTATTCACCTGTTACCAGCTCACTTTCCTCTCCCCTTTTTACAAAATGTTGTTTATGGCAAATGAGTGGTTTCAGTGGTACTGTGACTTACCCACAGCCTGTGAAAAAGTTTTCTGGGTGCCGTAGCCCAGAATTTTTCTAAACTGGGCCTATTTTAAGGATTCTACAGCCCTGACCCTGTCTTTCAGGTCAGCACTTTCCATATTCAAAACCTCCAGTGAGTGGGAAGCCGACTGGCAGTATCGAATGAACTGAACGGTTGGAACTGGTGGCAGGCCCTACCCCGCTCAGCTTTGTCATTTGCTTCTTTTTTATCCCCCTTCTTAGTTTCTCTAAACTTCCCCTGGGAGGTAGGGAAGTTTTTGGTGGAGATAAATATCTGGAAGTCTTTTGCGGCCACAAGAACACATTGATAAACTCAATGTTTACACCTTGTCAAGACTTGATTCTTGTTTCTGAGATAGTGAGGACATCATAATATTGTTTGGGAGAAGGACGTGATTTTCTTCTCATGCTGGGGCCCAGAAAACTTCAGGCATTTCATTTCTCCAGTTGTTCCCAAGATGTTTTCTGTCCTGCCTAAGATCTCTAAGCCATTCCTCTCTGAAGATTGGCCCTGGCTCCTGTGGGATGCTCAGCTTTCCTCCCTTTGCAAGGCTTATGCAAACCCTGGAAGAATTACTCAGGGCAGCAGCAGCACATCTTCCTGCATACAGCAGGGTAGCAAGGCGCCCAAGCTGCCAAGAGGAAGTCTAGCGGCTGCAGGCCTGTTGTTGATCAAGGATATAGAAGTCTGTGCAGGGGACCCACGCAGGACACTATTTGGGGCAGCACTGTGGGCTTGAGATGGGCCGAGTGGCACACCCAAAAAGTCCCCAGGAAAAGGTATGCGAAGGAGGCTGAGTGTTTGCTATTGTTTGGTGGGACAGAGGTGAGGTGTCAGGGAGCTGACCTAGCTGGGAAGAAGCCTGAGCTGCTTTGAGGTGAGGTAACCGTGTCCCCACCTAGGTGGGGTGGCCGCACTGGGAGTCAGTCTTGGGCCATTGGAGCCGCGTAGAATGGCAACAGAGAATAAAGAGCTGCGACCAAAGGCTGTGAACACAGTTTGACATGCCTAGGAAAGTTGTTTTTCTTGCCACTCCATCCTTCTAGCAGGTAGGACAGAAGCTCAAGGAGCTCTGAACCAAGTTCAGGGCCGTCTCTTTGGATCCTGTGGAATACATGTCTTTTTGGCGTCTTTTTGATTTTTTCTCCCTCATGGGTATATTCTGCCAAGTTCATCCTGTCTGACTTGGGCTGGACACCAATGATTATGAGTTGCTGTAATATCTCTGGAGGCAGGAGGAGAACATCCTTTTTGTCTTTCCCTCTTCCTGTCTTGCTCCAGCTCTGGCTGGGTCATTAACTGAGTGGGAGGTGCGGGCCTCTCCCTGCTGTTACTGGGGAGTGTTGAGGTGGCCAGTGGAATACGGGTCACATGGAAACTGGCCACCAAGTTCACTCTTTGTGGAGCGAGCTGTCAGGAGCAGCCCTTTTCCTGTAGCAGAAGGCAGGTGTTTGGACAGTGGCTGGCATGGGGTGGGAGATGTTTGGCTATAGCTTTTCTTTTTTTTTCATCAACTTTCCCTTGGGCTGGTTCATGGTCAGTCATAGCTGGTGGGTTACATCATATCAAAGAGCTGGGATGACCAGGTTGACTTTTGGGGGAGGATTTCAGGCTTAGAATTTTTATTTTTATTTTTTTTAAGCTTAAACAGTGGTCTTTCTTAAAAATTACCTTTATTGGAGTTTAATTGTCATGCAACAAACAGCACATAGTTAACATGTACAGTCTGATACACTTTGACATATATCTAAATCAGGCTGTGAATCTACCACCACAGTTAGGATTGTGAAAACAGCCACCAGCCCCCAAGGTTTCCATGTCCCTCTCTGTCATCCCTCCCTCCTCCTCCTCCCTGCTCCCCAGCCCCCGAGCAACCACTGATCTGTTGCTTTCTGACACAATATATTGGTTTGCATTTTCTAGTGTTTTATCGAATTGTAATCTTAAAGCATGTTCTCTTTTTTGGTCTGGCTTCTTTCACTCAGCATATTATTTTGAGGTCTGCGATGCATGTTTCAGTGTGAACCATGCCTTTGAGCCAGTTGCCTTTCATTCTGTTTCCTATTCCCACTCCATGAACACAAGAATGCCTGCTTGATATTATCTAAAGGCATGGTTCTCTTTCATGATTTTTTCCTTAATATAAATGAATCACTAAGCAAAAATACACTCAGCTCTGCATCTCTCATACCTGAAATTTCAGCTGGGAAAGTTGAGAGAGGGGAAGGCCTTCAGGTGGGCAGCCAGCATCATGCTCCTAAGAGGTAAGTTCATTTCTTCTCTGAGCCCATCTCACACACTGCCCTGACCTACCGTTTTCTGTATTCCAGACCGCAAATTCTTCCTATAGAAGGGAAAAGGAGGAGCTGTATCAAACTCATTCTCCTGAACAAGGTGGCTAACTTAGCAATGCAGGTCACTTTTTTTTTTTTTTTATGTGAATCATGGCCAGTCCTGTCTTCCCAGCGTATGTGGCCAAATCATGCCTCTCCTCTTGAGCGTCTGGGAGGTAATTGATTTTATGGGCCTTGCCTATTCTAGGACTCTGCTCTGCTTGAGGCCTGAGTCATATTTCATGGAATGTTCAAACTCTTTGAACAGTGTTCCTTTTATCTTGTAGTAGTAAAGTTTTCAGCATTGGGAAGTGTCTCTTTCAGCAGGTGATCACCTGTTGGACACAGGTGGTGAGGGATGTCTGAGCCACCCTGTGCTGGGAAGATCGAGTTGGCTCTGGGATTCTTACAGGACCGTGCTAGCCAGCAACAGAAAGAGACCAGAGTTGTCTTGGAGCAGCCATAGTGTTGGTGTAGGTGTGATTCAAGGGAGGGACTGGGCTACCAACAAGATTGGGGACAAAGGTCCTTGGCTGCAGAAATAGCAGAAAGTTGATCAAAGGGTTTTTCCCACCTTAAGATAAGGAAGTAGCAAGTGAAATAAAAACATGTAGTCCTTGATGAAGTGATGCAGAGTTCCACGAGGTCGTGTCAGACGCTCTTCTGGGAAGAATTCAGGAGATCCTGCAGCTTGAGGAGAAAGGTTTTAGAACATTTGGACCTGAAAAGGACTCCGGGGTCTAGGCACAGACTCCCTCCCTCGCCATCGTCACGCAGCAGAGGCAGGTTTTTTGGTGTCAGTGTTGGGATATTTGCCGCTTCCTCTCCACTCCGTTTTAGATTTTGCTTAAATCTATTGCTCTGGATGTTACAGACCGTATTGAAAGAGAGTTCTCATGGTGTGAGGTCTCCTGGGATAGAAACGCAGCAGGTGTTTTCAGAGGCTCCTGCTAACGAGGTAGATATTTCTTGACTGGTGTCTGCCCGTTAGAGACTCCTTGTTGATACTCACAGCTTCTGTTTTTGACACTTAGCAAATAGTTAGTGGGCTTGTTCTTTTCAAGCACAGATTGTATTTTTTGCCCTTAAGAAGTTATTTTGTGAGTAGGTAATTTATGAACATGGTAAGTGTTCAGAGTGTGAAAGGGAATAAAGTGAAAAGAAACTCCCACTCCTGGCCCCTAGGCTAGGTCCCTTCCCTGTCCCCTCTTCATATCAGCCGTTACTACTGACAATGGCTTCTTTCAGAGATATTCTATGCATATACAAGAAGATAGCTACACATATTATCCTACTTGTCCGTTAGACACATAATTTATTTAAACAGGCTTCTATTGATGGACATGGATTGTTTGCAATCTTTTAGCTACTGTAAACAAAGTTGCCGCAGATATCTGCTGGATGTATTTCTATAAGTAGAATTGCTGACCATAGGAAAGATTCATTTTAAATCTTGATAGACATTTCGAAAATAGTACATTTTATTTCTGTTGGAATCAGTGTAAAGGAGATTCTGCACCCAAATCGATAGGGCCAAGTCGATTCTTGAGTCTTGTAAGAACCAGTGCATCTCTTGTGTATATTCATAGATAAGTCCTATGTGGTGGATTAAAAAAAACATTGAACATAGTTATGTCTTTCCCTATTCGTGAGATCATTTCATTTAGAGTCTACAAGCATCTCGAACATCAGGGGCTTGTTATCAAGAGTAGAGGCCTTGTGTTTTCTAACAGAGCTTTCACTTCTCTCTGGGTGAGACACAGTCCTTTTCCCGTTTATGATGCTGTCAGTGGTCCCAAAGTACTACAAAAGTCACATAATGTTAGAACACTTTTTGTTGTTGTTATTGTTGTTATGTGGTTGATTAGAGTGAGGGGTTTTTGTTGTTTTGCTATTGGATCTCAAGGTTTTGGTCTAGTAAACTCTTCTTCACGTACTCACTTCCTACAGTCTTTAGGAAATATTGCCCTCTGAACCACCAATCCTGC